ATTGAGAAATTAGAGTATGAGATACTAGTGGCATATGGAGGTGTGAAAAATCCACGTGATAAATATGATGACTATTAATTGTGATATTAAGAAATTGATATGATTAAATGTTAGAGGCATATGGGATGGCCATTGTGATGAAATTATATGATTACTACATGATATGGTGAATAGCAAGTAAATGAATGATATGGTGGTATTATAGAAAAACAATGTGATGATATATTTGGAGTGTTAAGTAAATTAATTTTGTCAAGATTATTTGTTAGATTATTATGTTATATTATATACTTCTTCTAGTTCATTTGGGGTCTTGACCATGTACATATAGTTCACTAAGGGGCATTGGTCTTGTTCCANTATATTATATACTTCTTCTAGTTCATTTGGGGTCTTGACCATGTACATATAGTCCACTAAGGGTCATTGGTCTTGTTCCAATATTGATTATGAGAGGTCTTTGAGATCCATTTCCGTTCACTGTTGGGGCCCAAGAGCCGTCGGGAGTGTTTAGCCCAATGGACAGTCTACGCGCTTATAACTAGATTTCAGTTTTTAGTCAGAAGGTACATTTTTGGTAGATTTCATGATACATGTGATGTGATGAGATGATGATATAGATTTCAGTTGATGATTATATCATGGTTACGAGAATGATTCATTTCTTAATTATTAATATATGATATTATTGTCTCTTTATAGATAGTAAGAGCACCAAATTGTGCGGGCTTAGAAATATGAGAAGTTTTGCTATCAGATTACACTCTGAGAGAATATTTACTTTTGTATCTGATAAGTATGTTTTTACATACTTATTTTACTGTCAAAACATGAGCAATTGTTGATTAAAATGTTCGAATATAGCTTAATTCTATGCAATTTATGTTTTGTAAGACAAAGTGATGAATGTAGCGAAATTGAGGTGAACTAAGCGAAAAAAGGACCAAACTGGAAGAAAGGGAAAGTTCAGGGACTAAGGTGCAAATACTACAAACTTGTTTCCAACTTTGTGATGAAGATTCAAGAGTTTTAGAGATCAATTGGATGAAAA